TTTTTTAATTATGGAAATAACAAAAATTGAAAATCCTTTATTAAAATTTTTTTCAATAAATTAGTCACGTAATTTGAATAATAATTTGTATTTATCAGAAATTATTTGATTGCTCTAAAGATTTAATTTATCTTATCTTGACAATAAATATATGGCAATAAGGAAAATTTTAATTGTTTTAGATTTATTAATTTGCTTTAGTTATGTGAGTCCGCAGTGTTTTACTTGTTTCAATCAACATGGGAGACGTAAGTCACTTTATTTGTCTAGTTCGGAAAAACCTCATTTTCTTGTAGACATTTAAAAAGCGAACTGGCACAACAGACAAGGGAAAAATTTACGAAGATTTGATAACAGCTAATTACGCTTTTAACTTACTGCTTGACAAGACAAAAACTAATTTCAAATTATCATCAAATAACGAACAGTTTGGAGCTTTCGATGATGTCGTTATTGAAATTGAATCACAAACATATGCTATTCAACTTAAACACAAAAATAATGAAACTCAAAGCTGGAAAGCTCTAAAAAAAAAGGACGACTTTAGTCTCAAAAAATATTACGACTCGTATAATAAGGAAATCAATCAATCGTGTCAAGTGATTCTTTTCACAAATTCCGACTTTGATCTAGACGAGGGTGAAGAAATTCTATTCGCAAACAATATTTTGAAAATTAAAAAGTGTGATTTAGATAAACTGATAAGTGAGACGGGATCCTGTTACAAATTTGAAGTCACATACGACGAAAAATCTAAGTTTTTTGATAACTTTTTTCTCTACACCAAGCAAACAAATGTGTGCAAAATCAGAGATAAGTTGCGAAACCAATTCGGCGAAATTTTCGGTTCGGAAGAGAGTGAAAATTACAAAAAATTTGTCGATTTTATAGTCGAGTGGAGCGGAATAGAAGAAGAGAAACCCAAACTCGACCGATTTTTTATCGAGCGGGTTATAACCCTTTTATTACTGAAACCGTTTATCGAACCGATTCGGTTTGGTTGCAAGGTTAACACCAATGCCAAAATTCTGCGAGACGTGATTTCCGAACGCAAAGTCACAGTGTTTGATCAAAGGGTCCAAACGCAAGTTGCAACTCTTTGGGGCGATGCAAAAATAACACTTGACATAAAAGAAGTGAACAAAATGCGTCAAAAATACCAAATTTGTGATTACATCAATGATTTTCGTGACATAAACGATAAAGATCAGTCTATATTTTTATGGCTGATGAAGAAAACTCCTTTAATACTTCACGGGGGTGAAGTTGTGAACAAGGTGATTAAATTGTGTAAAATGAAAAAGTTTGTCGTACTTGAAACAGCTGGTGAGTGGATCAAATTAACCGATTTGAGCGGTTTGAAATCATACGAATTTGTTTTAACTTCTTTCAAGTGTTGTTTTCAAGGGAAAGAGACGCAAAGTTTGAGGGATTTTAACGATTTGATACCATTTTGGACCCTCAACGAGTTGGTTTTGATGCTTGACGGGCCATACACACTCGACAGAAAAGAAACACTTACGCACTCTTATATTAACAGACGACTTACTAGACATGTGGTAGATATCACTTATTTGGATAAAATTGATAAAAACACTTCAGTTCTTATCGATTGTGTCAATACTGACCTTAAATGTCTCTGTGTCGATTTGGACCAATTTTTAAACGGAGACTCTAATTTAGAAAAGAAATTTTTACATTTTGGTGCTGTTTTTATAAAAAAAACACCATGTGGGAGCGACGATTTTGATAATTTGTGTCGTAAGACAAATTCTCGAAAAAGTCTTCATTTTCGAATGGATGAAAATAATTTGGACTTGATACGAAGCAAAGATGAGACTGATTTGGAACGATTCTGCTTGAATGTTTCAATTGAAGAAGATAAATTATTAGAAAGGCTTGGAAATAACATCAATTTGATAATAAACGAAGCCGGGATGGGGAAAACCGAGTTGTTGAAACATTGGAAAAATGAGTTTTTTGAGGACTACTGGACTCTACTTTTGACCCCCAAAGACATGTCATGTGTTAGTGAGCACATTGAGGGATTTTTTGATTATATCGTAAAAGAGAAGTACAGAGATTTGCAAGATTTTGACAAGAACGTGTTAGAAGTGTTTTTGAAGAAGAACCGAGTGGTTTACTTGTGGGACGCTCTGGACGAAATATCGACCCAAAATCAAGATAAAATCATAAATTTGATCAAAAAGTTGCCTCGGGAGTGTCAACAATGGGTTACAAGTCGACCTCACTTGAAACCAAAACTTGAAACGGCGTTTGGGGTCCCTGCGAGACATTTACTTCCACTAGACCGGGACCAACAGATTTTTTACATTGAGCAGGTGCTCAAATGGGACATTGGGCCAAAAATGATCAACAGTGACATTTTCGCGGTTCCCTTACACTTATTTATGGTGTCAGAATTGTGGCAAGACTCTCAAAAATATCAAAATTTGTCATTGATCGATCTCTACCGAAATTTTATCGAAAACAAGAAAAAGAAGTTGTGTGAGAAAGCAAAACTAGAGACACCTAATGATTGTTTGTGGGAATTGTTTGATCAAAACGTTGACGATATGTTAGAAGCCTACGAGCAAATCGCTTTCAAATCACTACTTTCCGAGGATTTGATCAAAAAATTAAACATTAACTGTGATCACTGTTTTAAAAAAATCAAAAAATGGAAAGATCGTTTAGGACTTTTGTCGCATTTTGACGATTCTAGTGCTCAGTTTTTACACATTTCTTTCGCTGAGTATTTAGTCGCACGTTACTTTAGCACGAATTTTGAGCATATTTCGCACTTGGAGTTTATTTTTTTGCAAGAATTCCAAAATGTGCGATTTTTTTTCGACCTGTTGCTTGCACAAGAGTCGCAATTGCACGTTGCTGTCTTGTACAAGGATTACGAATTTTTGAAGCAGAATGAAGATCAAGTGAGGACTTGCAGGGATTTTGGAGGAAGAAATTTGTTGCAATTGGCGTGTTCTTGGGGACAAACATGTCCGGAGTTAAGTGTTGAAAAAGTGGGCGATGTTTATGTTATCGATGATCAGAATGATCTAAATGAAATTACAGACTCGCAAGATTATGTCAAAATTGTCAAATTTCTTCTTGAAATTTGTGATATTGAGGAAACTGATTGTGTCTTCAAAATGAATACTAGAGGGTATGCCGATAGGGCCAATTGTGTCTTGGCAAAAATATTCATAGAAAAGAAAAAAAGGTCTTGTGGTAACATTCTTTCATCAAGAACCCTTTGTAATTTGTTGTATTTTTCGGCAAGATTCGGTTGTAGTGAAACTCTTGAAGTCTGTGAAAAAATCCCTATAGTACAGACAAAGAGTAAGAATTCGCTTCTACATCTAGTCACTTCTGAATCCTACTTATCTCAACTTTTGAACAAGAAAGAATACAAAAAATTGATAAATCAAGTGAACAAATTCGGGGAAACCCCACTTCTTGTTGCTTCAACCAATGGTTATGACACTATTGTCCGTAATTTGATACAATCAGGTGCTATGATTGATATTTGTGATAATGACGGCTTCTCACCTCTTCATAAATCGTGCAGAGTTGGGCATCACAACATCGTTGATATTTTGATACAAAAAGGGGCACAAATTGATATTTGTGATAAAGACGGTGATACGCCTCTACATTTGGCCGCGTATCACGGACATGACAATATCACTGAAATGCTGATTTTGACTAAAACCAAGCTTGATGTTTGTGATAATGACGGTTCAACGCCACTTCACAAGGCGGCTTATAATGGTCACAATGACGTAATGCGTAGATTGATTGAATCAGGATCACAAATTGATGTTTGTGATCATTTCGGAAGAACGCCTCTCTATTGGGCCGCTCATAACGGACATGTGAAAACTGTGAAAATTTTGATTGATAATGGGGCACAAATTGATATTTGTGATAAAAATAATGAAAGTGCTCTCTATTTGGCGGCATTTAACGGCCATTATGACGTGATTCAAAACTTATTATCACATGATAAGTCACAAATTGATGTTTGTGACGATGATGGCTCACGGCCTCTTCATAAAGCGGCGTACAACGGGCATGAGAGAGTCGTTACAGCTTTGATATCACTTGGGGTACAAATTGATAGTTGTGATAAGTTTGGAAGGACGCCTCTTTATTGGGCCGCTCATAACGGGTATGTGAAAACTGTGAAAATTTTGATCGATAAAGGGGCACGAATTGATATTTGTGATAAAAAGGATGGTTCTCCTCTACATGTCGCGGCTTACAACGGACATGATCATGTAGTGAATTTGATATCATCTACTATCATTGATAATTGTGATAGAGATGGTTCGACACCACTTCACAAAGCTTGCTACAACGGTCATATCAAAGTCGTCGATACGTTGCTTTCAAAGGGTGCCAAAATTGATAGTTGTGATAATTATAACCGAACGCCACTTTACTGGGCGGCTCATAACGGACATCACAAAGTGACCAATTTTTTAATAGTGTCGGGGGCAAATGTTGATATTTGTGATCATGGTCGTTGGTCTCCTCTGATTTGGGCGATTTATAACGGACATAAGGAAGTAGTTAGTGATTTGTTATCAGGGGGTGCTAATGTTCAAATTTGGACCAATGAAGGCGAAACACCGCTTCATAAAGCGTGTGTTAAGGGATATAGCGAGATTGCGAAAATGTTGATATTAAAAGGTGCTGAAATTGATATTTGTGATAATTGTGGAAGAACACCACTTGATATAGCTATGCAACGAGGGTTTGATAACGTGGTCTCATTGCTTATTACATCTGGGGCCAAGGTTGATCCTTTAAAATATAGATTGTAAAATTTTTTCTTATTTTTTTTATAAATAAGGTGCTTTGAGTCATTTTTTCCCATAAGGGAGCAGCGTACTATAGCGCTTCTTAATAAGTAGACCAAAGCCTTCTTTCCCATAAAATTTTACTAAAACTGAATTTAAATCACAGCATGTATTTTCAAAATTTTTCAAAAATTTTAATAACTCGGCAACACCGTAACCGAAATTTAAAAACAAAATATGGTTTTATAGCATTTGGTAAGGTACATAAGAACAAAAATTGTGGTTTTTCATTAAAAAAAAAGTTGCGTCCGGCCCTGGAATAACGGAACTTAATAGAGATTTGTTATCTTTATGTTGACACAAAAATTTATTTTTGTATTTTTAATAATAAAGTCGGTATTCTTCGTCGCCGCATTTGTGACTCACCCGGTATAATATTAGATAATACGATTGCTAAGCAGCATTAATAAACTAAAATGTAAAATTTCCGGTCACGTTTTATTTTATTGAAGTTTTTATAACAGAAATAAATAATTAATTATGTTAGGCATTTGTTTGTGTTGTAACATAATGGCCAATTTAGATGAGTACCATTTTGTGAAGGAAAATAAATTTTGGTGAGTTTTAATACCGGTTTTTTATTTACACATAGTGATAGTTTCAGAATTGTTTGGCTTCACGCCTACTTGATTTTAACCGGATTATCAATCGGCCTTATAGTCACACTTTGGGGTCAATTTTTGCTAAATCCAACTGTAACATCTTTAGAAACAAGTTATCATCCAATTGAAAAAATTGTGTTTCCGGGAGTTGCTATTTGTAACATTAATAAAATTAGTCGACGAGAAGCCCAATCATTTGCAAATTATGTGTATGTGAATTTTTATCAATTTTTCAATTTTAATGCCAATTTTAGGGCTAATCATACAAAAACAAACTTCAGTGAAGCTTTCAAACTAGCAAAATTTTTTGGCAATTTTTACGATTTTGATTTTAACATCGCCGATGAAAAGAGTTACAAACAATTACAATCAATCCTTGATGGGTTACAACTCGACGTTGCCAAATTAATGAAACAGGTTTTAAGAAATTTACATTCATAAAAATTTTATTTAAAAAATTCTAGTTTACGACTCGGTGCCAAAATTTGTTAATCAAATGTCGCTGGAAAGGTGTGATAAAAAATTGCGATGAAATTTTCAAAATGGAATTGACCTATGACGGATTTTGCTGCACATTTAATTATGTCAAAGAGAGTTTAATGAATGAGTCCTTAGAGATTTTAAATGGCACTGAAGGCCTCACTAGAGGCTTGTCAATTACTGTAATAAACGACCTTGAGGATTATTTTTACACTTCTTTGGAATCGCAGGGAGTGACAGTAAGTGGGGTCAGGTCAAGTCAGGTCAAAAATTTCGCTTTATAGGTACAAATTTTTGCACCAAACGACTACCCCGACAAGCCCAGTGGGGGCCTCAGCGAGGTCGTGGTCCAAGTCGGGACTGAAAATTTCCTGAAAATTACTCCAACTACGGTTTTTTCGGCCAAAGAAGTCATGAAATATCACGTTTCTAAAGTACAGCGTGTTCCATTTTTATTGTTACAAATTTAAACAGGTGATAGAATATTCAATTTTAAAATTCTAAATTCCATAGTTTTTTTTACAAAAAAGAGGTCTCTTGCGTTTTTTCGATACAACTCACCTTTTTTGAGTAAAATCTTTTTTAATATTTATGTTCACTTGTTTTGTTGTGTTTTTTACCGACAAAACAATGGTCAAATTTGGTCGAAAATAGTACTATTTTGCTTTTTCAACGTTTTAGCATGTTTTTAAGATAAAAATTCAAATTTTGAATAACACTTCATTAAGTCAAGAAAAAAAATTACGAAATTAAATCAAAAATGATGTTATTTTTTACTTTCTCAAGCGTTTAAGAAAGTTTATCAGTCAGAAATTTTGCCCAAACCAGTCGATAAATCGATAAAAATTGTTCTATTTTTGCTTTTTTAATCAGTTAAATACATTTTTTGAGCTAATAAACTGAGTTTTTTCGATAAAACAGACCAAAATTTACCAAATTAGACCGAAAATGATAATATTTTCGCCGTTTAAATTATTTTTGAATCTTCTTAATATAAACTTTTGCTCAAAAAGGCCCAGATAGAAAATTATTATTTTATTCTTATTTATTGTTTTATTACTA